CTTTATTTACTTATTATACATTACATCTTTACAAATGGATCCAAACTCATTTATTGAGGGATTGTTCAGTATCAGAAGCGAATCACATATGACACCATAAAGTCAATTTCATAATGAATTTTTCGATCTAAATGAAGTGCCCATTCTCGAAAATATTCCATGAGCTTGTTTGGGAAGGATTAAAATCGGATTAAAATTGAAAAACTAGCCGTTATTGTTGACTTTTATTAGACGGGTGAGACCCAATAACGACTATATTTTCAATTTTAATTGGATTAAAATCATTCACAAACAAGCCACATATTTGGATGCTATAATGAATTTTTCGATCTAAATGAAGTGCCCATTCTCGAAAATATTCCATGAGCTTGTTTGGGAAGGATTAAAATCGGATTAAAATTGAAAAACTAGCCGTTATTGTTGACTTTTATTAGACGGGTGAGACCCAATAATGACTATATTTTCAATTTTAATTGGATTAAAATCATTCACAAACAAGCCACATATTTGGATGCTCATAGAAGTAGTAATCTAATTGATTTTGATGACATTGATGTTCCTGAAGCATAACATGAGAAGGAATAGGAATTCCTGATACAAGAGGGAAGCGAAAGGGAAAAAAAAGGTAAAATGTTGAGATCGCTTTAAATTGATTTCAACGGGTCGTGTGGTCGAAGAGTCCCAGAGTCTAAAATAGTATGTAAATATTGTTAACAACGATTAGCATGACAAAAAGGCATTGGTACCACTTACCTCAACTGTCATTACAAAGCATGTACAGCCAAACATAGGTTTTTTGCTGCTGGTCAAATGCAACTGTAATTTTGTAGTTTTTTGCGCCGGTTCTATTTCTTCGCTACTTTCCAAGTGGATATATTTGGAGGAGAAACCTCGAACATGAATGATGAAATTCGTTACCATTTCTGATTTGCCTCTAGCAATAACGGACAATCAATATTTCGCCACTTACGTAAAAGAATATCTTCAACCGAGGTACGTAGGTGTAAGTCGAAACACTCTTCGTTCAGATACAATAGAATATTTACTTNTATTAAGATAAATAGAATATTTCCTTCGTACAAAGAAATAATTGATTATCGATTTGTAAAAATATGGGGGGTGTCATATCTTTAGTTTCGAGACCCTGTTTGAACCACCTTATTGTAGAATGAGAATGAAAAATATAGCCGTTATTGGGGCCCACACAAGAGATAGAAAATTTGAATTTAAATATTGATGTGATGGATAACGGTAATATTTTTCATTTTAATGAGAAAATAAGGTGGCCCAAACGAGGGCCGAGTATATGTGAAGTGATTAATAAGAGAACTTATATAACCACAACTGCACACTACATAGACATACTTTGGTGTAGGCATAAAAATATTATTGTTTTTAAGAGTTCATTCACAAAGCTAACAATATATATAACGTTGTTATGAACATTATTAAATAATATCATTGCGAGAGTAAAATTTGTTCGTTTACATTCGACGACGCTATTGTTAATAAGACAGTTATCGATAAATTGTGTAGGGCATTCAGCCCGATTTCTGTGGTTATTTGTTTCATATTCATTACGTGTGTCACATTTTTAATTTAATCGTGCATGATGATTTGAAATATATTAAGAATTAAATTCAAAAAATTAGAGATGTACTAGTATATATTGAGATTTCACCTAGTAGAAACAAGACTTTGAAGAATTTTGTGTCGAATTTGGGTGAAAATTGCGAAAACATTTGTTAATGACGTATAGTATAGATGGAATTCCATTTATTATTAAAATCATGAGAATGTTTTGAATATTTAATTACTGAATTTTATAACAATAGATATATTATAAATGATGGTGAAACTATTTTAAATGAATTCGATTAACTTTTAGCTTTTAAAATTTAAAAAAATTGACAAATTTTTATGACTTTACAAATATTTTATTTGGAGTTTACTATCCCACAAGTTGTATGGTGCTTGAACGTTTTTATATAATTGCAAGGATTTTTCATAAATACAAAAATGATTCCGTTTTTAGTGCAATTATATATTCTATGAAATAAAAAATTTTAAAAAATTGGGAAAACTTGTCTATGTTATTTCCTTTAACATGCATTGTGGACTTTTGATACAATTTATCTGGTACTAGATATGTAATTCATCAGATTTTAAAAGCTTTAACTTTTAATAAAACTATCACTTGTAGAAATTTAGAATAAACTTATGTGAGATGTATGAATTATATGCAGAACGAATGTATACAAATATTAGTCGGGTACCCTCTGCACCTACTCCTCCCACCGATATTGAAGACGATGACGCTGAAATATTAACTTTATTCAATGGCATTAACGCATATAGATTGATGCAAATGCAATAGGTTTATCCAGTAGTAACTTGTCTATCGCATGTAATCAAATATCGAACGCAAGTCCAAATGCAATGTGTAAATAGATATGATTCGAATGCATGTGGCTCCTCTGGTAGTACTTTGTCTACCGCATGTAATCAAACATCGGATGCAAGTCCCAATGCGTTGCCTGCTGAATTAATTGATTACTTTAATCATAATATGCCTAATAACAAAACAATTAAAAGAAGTTGGAAAGAAGTAATTGAATTCTGGCGAAAGTATGAACGATGATGGCTAGGGATTTCTGCGATTGGAAAATACCTGCTAACACATCCAGTTAGCACTATAGTTTCAGAGTTTGCTTTTAGTATAGATAAGAGGGTTTTGTCCGAGGTTATGAACTGACTTAAAAAGGATATTTTGGAAGCATTAATGAGCGTGAATGATTGAGAAGGCGCTCATTTCCGACTGCAAGATAAATATGCCAAAATTATATGTTGTCGGGAGCATATTAATCAAAATTTGTTATTTTATAATACTGTCTTTAATTTAAAAAATAAATAAATTACACGAACAAGTTGTTCTTGTACAATTTTTAATTCCGCCTATTTGAAATTTAAGTAGCCGAGTCCTAAAAATGATGGAGGCTTAATTTAATTAATTAAAAAAAAGGACTCGCGAGCTGAATCTCGGCTCATGCTCAAACTCAAACTCGTGGACATTAGGGCCAAGTCGGGCTCGACTCGGACAATTTCCACCACTACTCTAAGGTGATAGAAACCTAAGCAGAAAAATCATTTTTTTTAGTTTTTTGATTTATATGCCGTTTTCGAAAGAGGTAAAAAAATTGGAATTTATATATTGGAGAGAGAAGGGATAAAAAATTGCTAGTTCGGCTTGCTTTTCTAGATTTTTTTTTTAAAAAAGTCAAATTAAAGTTTTTAATCTTTTTCTTATGTATAATGTAGTTGAAAAATTGTGAACAGTGTATGTATCACAATAAGTATTTCAATTTTTAATGAAAGAAAATAATATAATAATTTGAAGAAAAGTTAGTAAAAATAAAATATAGAAGAAAATAATAAATATATTTTGGGAGTACAAAAGTTTTTCCAACTTCTTAATGACAGTTTCTCCAAAAAAATACTATTTCAAACTCTTTATAAAAAACGAGGCTTGAGCAATAACTTAATATTAAAAACACCAAGCTATTGGAGTAGTTAAAAATTCGTACTCTCAAATTATGGATGTTCGCTAAATTATAAAATATGTTTTCAAGAGATTTTTTATTTATAAAGAATATCTTGTGTATTATAGAAAGCATATTTATTTAAAGAGTTAAAATTTTTATATACTTCAACAAGCTCTCTATTTTGGCTATTCATTATGCTTTTCTCAAGAAATATTTATTGATTTCTCTTTATATTTTATTTAACGTAATTTTCCAAACTCTATTTTTATAAAAAAAAATGAGGCTCAAACAAGAACTAAATATTAAAAACCAAAAACTATTGGAGTAATTAAAAAATTGTACTCTCTAATTATATATGTTCGCTAAATTATAAAATATGTTAATGTTAGAGAGTTTCTTGAATATGTTAAGAGTATCTTCAATAGATTTTTTATTTATAAAGAGTATCTTATGTATTATAAAGAGTATATTTAAATTTAGAGAGTCAAAATTTTTATACACTCCAACAAACTCTCTATTTTGGTTATTCATTCTGCTTTCCTCAATAAATATTTATTGATTTCTCTTTATATTTTATTTAACATAATTTTCTGTATATAAGTTAACCAATCAACGTGGTTTGAATAATTTAAAAAGTAGAATATTGAAAATATGTGTTTTATTAAATGTAATCATTGTACATTAAGAATATAGATTGAGTTTGACTCTCTAAATTTGGAGCAATAAACCCGCTCTCTAATTTAAAATAGAGTCTCTAGAAACTTATTTTTAAACATTAATTCTATAAAATAAAGAGTATTTTGTACTTAAAGGATGTTTGATTCCCATTTTTTCTAAAATATATTTTTCCCTATTCTTTTCAACCGCATTCTTAACTAAAATAATATTATATTTAAATTAAAAATTTTCATTCTTTTTTAACCACACATTTTTCATCAATATTCTATTTTAAAATACATTCTTAAAAAATAATAGGGCTCAAACACCCCCTCTTATCTAATTCTGTTTGAACCTCATTCTTTTGCCAAAATGCGTTTTGGAATACAGATTCGATTGAAAATGTGTGGTTAAAAAATTTAAAAAATTTTTAAATTTATGTGTAATATTATTTTATTGAAAAATGTGTTATTGAATTGAAAAGAAAAGAGGAAAATGTATTTTGATATTTTGCTGATCAAACGTGCTCATGAGATATTTTCCAAGAAAATGCAAGGAACAGAATTTCCTGCCTAATTTCGTCCTCCGTGGATTCTTTCAAACCACAGATTCTCCTAACAAAACACGCGCTAAGAATATATCCTACTGACCTTCAATTTGGGCGGCGCTTTACCCAGAGAGAAAGCAATGCACTTTCATACGCAAAGCATTAAAATCTGCTCTTAAACAACGACGCTTCCTCTCTCACACACATAGATATTAGTAGCATTTCTCTGCTTCGATCATTGTTTCTTAACTGTGATGGATTCGATTCTCCTAGCTCATTTTCAAACAGTTGTTCCACGTTTAGGCGTAATCTCCACCATCCATCACCGGAGTTTCCCCTGCACCATCGCTCATTATAGCCGTCCCCTCTGTAGCAAGCATGTCGCTGTTAATTCCACTTCCCGCCGACGACGGCTTGCGGCGGTTGCCTCTTCTGCCACTGCTGACACTGCCAATTCTGTGCCTGTAAGTTCTCATCGTTCCTCTATAGCTTTCCATATTTATACAATAACGGTTACTTATACGCTACTTATCAAAGATTAAGAGAACCCGAGTTCATAATGAAGTGAGGTGTCAGTGAGAAGAGCTGTAGAAACTAGAACGTTGTGAAAGGGATGTTAACGTATTGAAGCGGATTCGAAGAATAGCTTGAATCAGGCGTTTTGCATGTTTTTTGCAACAAAAGAAGCAAAGAAGATGACCTTCCAACATAATTGGGACTTGTTGGTTTGATATGGCTATTTTGTGGCGCTGTCCAAGATATTTATTTTTATTTCTTAAGTAATCAATTGGGACTTGTTGATTATTAAAATATTCCTTCCGTGTGACCGGAATCAACCATATCAACACAATCCATGGTGAGGTAGAAGTGACGTTGACTTCGATTTCTACACCGATGATGTGGCCAATAGATCCCTACTCCACTCACTTCCACGTAGCTCTTGCCCTACACACTTGGACAAACCTTTAGGAATATGCGACCTTCTCGAAGGTGGGAGAGGCGACCACATGCACTACTACGATCAAGTCAGTCAGCTTATATGGATGCATATGGGTGTGGGACGTGCTATAGACGTGAGTTGCAAAGGTGTTCGGACATAGGGAGTCAGGGTAGTACCGGTTTATAGAGAGTAAAATGAGAGAGAGCAATATTACAGTTCAGTGTGTGAAATTGGCATTACTCGGTAGAAAAATATTGGAAAGTGGATATTAGACAATCCAACAGTTGTCTTCATTAATGATGATGCCATGTTAATTGGGTAAATTCTTGAATGAAAAATGCCAATTTTAGCAAAATCTGATCCTTGTAAAGAAAAGGCAGCAGAATTCTACATTTCCATGAAGTCCCCCCCCCCCCCCCCCCACCCTCCCACCCCCAAGGCTCTGGTTATTGCCTCTACTTAACGCGATTCTTTGTTTCCTCAATGTTTCTTATTATTAATGTTTGTTAATTTACAGCTTCGTGAGAAAACGTATAACGTTGGTGATTTTATGACAAGAAAAGAGAGTTTGCATGTTGTAAAACCTACAACTACAGTCGACGAAGGTATTTCATACCCTTTTATTTGTTCTAACCGTACGTTTCACCTTCTATTTTTCAGCATTTGTTTTGCATGTACAGCATTGGAGAAACTTGTTGAGAAAAGAGTTACAGGGTTTCCCGTGATTGATGATGACTGGAACTTGGTACTTTCCTATTTCCTCTCAGTGGCTTTGCTCTTACCATTAGGACTTGTGTGAAAGTGATTCATTGAGAAGTTATTTTTTTGGAAAGTGATTTTTTTAGAATGTGTGGTTAAAAACTAAAAAGTGGAGAAAAGATATGGGAAAACGTGGAAATTGATTTTTTATTATTATTATTATTATTTGTTTTTTGAAAAATGTGTTGTTAAAAATGAGTGGGCGAAGAGTGATTTTCAAAAAACCACTTTGAAGCAAGGCTTACCATTTTTTGTTTATTATTAGAGAAATTGCACATATGGTCTCTGAATTTGTTTGTGTTAGTATATGGATACAATTATGGCGAATTCAATTGAAGAATTTTGAAAAATATTTGTTATTGGGTATATGAAACATAAATTTTGGACTATGCACGAGCTGTTGAAATTGTATTTTTCATTCTAGGATTTAAGTTATAATTCATTAACCATATCAAAGTTGTTTCTAAAATCAAACATGTAACTCTAAAATTACTAAATAATTTTCAATACATTTATATAAAATAGTAGAAGTATGTCAAGCTTAGGAGCAGTTATCTTAATACTTTAGCTCAGTTAGATTTACTCTTTCAGTCAGTTCGAACTGGCTCAAGCTCGAGAATGATTGAGTCTAGCTTGACTCCACTCGATTCAAGCTCTTAAAGCTTGTGAGTCGGTTTGGCTTTCTTGCAGTAGTAGTCCAGCTCAAGTCAATGCTTAAATATGTGCCTAAATTTTGAACAAATTGTAATGTTGTTTTTGTGCATGATGTAAAATCGTTGTAATAAAATTTCTTTTCCAGTTCTTCATGTAAAGGTCGCCTCGGATGGGATCATTGATTAATTAAACATGTGTGCTGCAGGTTGGTGTTGTCTCTGACTATGACATGTTGGCAATTGACTCCATCTCAGGTATCATTGCAGTTTTGAAATGAAGTCAAAACGTCAGTGACATCTTCTAATTTCTTTCACTAAATGCACATTCTTGGAATTTAGCTAGATTATTTAGAATAGCAGGGAGCATGAGTTGTTTGAATGAGGTTACTTTCTATGGGGGCGAGAATTTCAAATATTACCTGATAACAAGATTTGAACCTACATAATTAGCATGCGTGGTTTGAACTTTGGATAAACAGTTTATTGGACAAAAAAGGGCTGTTTCTTTTTTGGAAAAATATTTGTGGGTCGACTCTGAGTTGAGTTAGGGGATACAAACTACTCACTTTCATCACCTCCAAGCTGTGGGGCCTGCAATTGGCATTATTCATCTTTGTCACCCAAGTGCGGTGGCTTGTATTCTCGGCTAGGCCTATATAGTGTTATCCATATTTTTCCATTGCTGAATTACCTGTCATTTTAGCAAAAATTAGACGAGAGAAATGAACTGATATCTGCACTCCAAAGTGCGATACCCAAGCTCCAAAAATTTAGAGGAATGAATTTCATATTTCACTTTATGGAGTGGGAATAATAGTAAACCCCCGAAACAAAAATAAATATATAATAAAACTGTTGAAATTAAGTTGCTTCCAAGCTGTGGGGCCTGCAATTAGCATTATTCATCTTTGTCATCCAAGTGTGGTGGCTTGTATTCTCGGCTAGGCCTATATAGTGTTACAAATATCCAGACTAGTCTCAAGATACTTGAGACAATATGATCATATCAAAGTTTCGATAATAGTCATATTAAATATTGTTTTACTTATTAGATGCGTCATATTTTCTCTGAGTTAAATGAACTTGACAAGTTCATTTGCTTACTATAGCAGTGACGTCTAGTTTTATCCTATTTCCCTGTCTATGAATTTCAGGTGGTGGTCAGCATGATTCAAACATCTTTCCTGACGTTGATAGTTCTTGGAAAGTATGTAAAAATCGTCCTTCCATGTTTGAATCCTCTACACTTGGTAACTGATAAGCAATGCTCAATTTTGCTGTAATGGACATTAAAAATAATATTTTTGTTCAGGAAAATGTGTAGTGAATGGTGCTAATGCGATGCGCTGTCTTACTTTTTGGCACTAAAGGAAAAATAATGGTTACAATAGTATAATATGAATTATATTGTGATTTTAAAATAGCCTGAGTTGTCATTTTTCCACAAATGAATTGTAGTTTATAGATTTATTGGGACTTTACATGCAATCATTGCCTATGGTGAGAATCCTTGAGATCAATCTAACATATTAGCACGCAAATAGCATAGAATGCTGCAACCAAAATATTATGGATAGTAATGACTGTGTTTCCTGGATAATATGTTAATAAAGATATTTAAGCTTATCTGTAGGAATTCATAAGTTTATTTTATATACACACATGCTTATTTCTTCATCAGTTTCTAATTTTTTGAGCCATTACAGACATTTAATGAAATCCAGAAGCTACTCAATAAAACTTATGGGAAGGTTATTGGAGACCTTATGACAGATGCTCCCCTTGTTGTGCGTGAAAACACCAACCTCGAGGATGCTGTCAGGTATTAACTTCTTCTCTTTGATTATATTTTCCTTGACATAAACGTTGATCTAAGTTTTCTACTTGGTGATGTAATTGAGATTCTTTCTTTGCTTGATGTTGCATCCCCACCAAATTTACACTCTGTAACAATGGGTTCTAAATCTGAGATAAGATTGAACTAAGATTTTAAAAAAGACTGGTTTAATCATCCTTAATTACCATTGAAAAAGTGAAGAGGAGATCTGCAATAATAAATACTGAAGTGTGATGAACATGTAAAAGTAGACGCGTTCATCATGAAGGAACCTTTTTAAGAAAGTATGCCCTATTAATCATTTTCTACCATTATTGAAGCAATAAGCAGAATATGGCTGACAAAAGGAGATGGAAAAAACAATTTATTTAGGCACATTGTTAAATAATTTTGTCTGGGATGTTTCATTTGATTAAATTTCAATAGCAGTATACAAGCTTTTAAAACCTTCATCTGTATGGCTTTTCTTCATTAGAATGAATCTCACAAATCAATATAATGTCACACTTAACTCTTCCCTTTCGTATTTAAGTTTTGGAGGGGAGAGGGGCCCCATGGTATGCAAGTTATGTGGATGGAGATCCTTAAACGTGCATGTGGTGTCAAACAGAGTGTGTTGTGGGGTATTTATGAAAAAACCTTGTGAATCTGCAGGCATGCACCTCTAGCAGCATGAAAAATCTGGTTGCCTCAGTTTTTAACTTTTCTCTTCTTTTTTGTTAAATTCCTCTCGACACAATTATTGGTGCTAGACATTTACAAGAACACTTCAGAAGTTCTGCATGGTAGTAAAATGATTCTAGAATTTCAATTTCTTTATTTGAAAGTATGAAGGGGTAAAATTGAGGTGTTTATAATATAAATTAATTAAATTTCCTAAATATTGTTGCCTCGAAGAGTAGATATTAAATCTATTCGATGCTAATTATAGGTTATTGCTTATCACAAAGTACCATCGACTGCCAGTTGTAGATGGAAGCGGCAAACTGGTAAAATGATTCTTCTCCGTATTCTTTGTTGGGATTTGATAACATCCATCAGCAGCACTTAGATTCCTATTGGTTTCTCTTTGCTCTGTCAAAGGTTGGCATAATAACGCGGGGTGATGTTGTCAGAGCTGCCCTTCAGATAAAGCGTGCTAGTGAAAAAATATGATAACTCCAGCACAAAGATTCACAGAATCAAATATCAATGGAAGCATGCCAATATTGGTTGCTCATTGAATGAAATATACATATGATTTCCCAGAACTCTATTGGTTAGCATCATACAATCCAGTCAGAAGTGTTGATTTATTCCCGTCATGAGGGTTCCTCAGCGGTAAGCTATTGATAATGGTCCATATTATATCTTTGTTCTCGTGCTGCTTCTTCCTGTAAATGTAGTGTTTGTGTTTATTAATTTTTCGGTTGTTATAATCTATAAATTTTGTCAATATTGGAGATAGGATACCGTGTAATATATCCAATAGTTGCTTTGTGGTTGTTAGTGCTGGAATTTCAATTCTGTGAGACATTATGTTGTGTAACATTAAAACAATTTCATATGAAAAAGACTTCCATGATTCTTCGTAGAATTACTGTAATTATAATAGGACAAATGCGACAAATTACTTACAAGATTTCATTGCAATGCAAATATTTCCTCCACTTTACAGATGAAAAGAATCCTGGAAATCCCTGACTTTAGATCAATACCATTAGTGCATCTTTCTTCCCCCTCTGTTAATGGATTCCTTGAGGCTGCATTTTTGTGTTGCGACACTTTCTTGAGGCTATACTTTGTGTTAATCTAAACTTGGGCATTCTTATTCCACTGAATTTGTTGTAGAAGCATTTTCTTGACAAATTTTTTCTGCAGTTATAAGCACTCCTATTACCTGATTTGTTTTGTAAATCCATTTCATGGTCCCAATTCCACATGGAGGTTTGTGGTAGAATTGTGTCAAGTTATTATATGAAACATTGAATGGAATCGTGAGAAAGAATGTGTACTTTAGCCGTCGTATGGGAAGAATTTATACATAACAAAATGCTTGATAGATAATACTTGTGTGTCATGTGATTTAAAAGGAAGTTTGACCATTTATAAGTTTTGTCAAACTGAGGTTTAAATTATTATAAATTTTATAAGCATGCCTAGTCACCACGTCTCTAGGATCTCTTTGGTTAGCAGTGACGTATCACGAATGGTCTAATGGTCGAGCACAACAAGTAAATTGAAAACTAATAAGGATTTCAAAGTTGTAATAAAGTAGCAATTCTATGAGAAGTTTATCCATTGATTGTGTTACCAACTTGCAGTTGATCTGAACATTCGTTCTCAATTGCTCACTGCTACTTTCATCTTGCTCTCCGCCACCCGACCGCAAGGTTGAAATAATTTTCTTCCCATTTGTTGGGGGAGGCCATTTGATCCCAATGATTGAAATCGCTAGGCTCTTTTCATTCCAGGGCATAAAATCCACCATAATTACCATCCCAAATGATGCCACTGTCATCCATAAATCTGTATACAGAGACCAACAATCCGGCCTTGACATCAACTCCACGGCCTCGAACTGCCTCCTGATATTGCCCTCCAAACCGTCGACATTTCTGCCCTGCCAATGACTGACCTCAGTTCACAAAGAACCTTTCAAGCAACTCCTAATCCAGCACCCCCAACTGTATTGTCACTGACACCTTCCACTGTTGGGTGGCGGATGTCATTGATGCCATTTGAGTTACTAGAATCGTCTTCAATGGTAATTGCTGCTTTGCTCGATGCTGTGATGAGAATCTTACAGAGGTTGCATCCTATATGGAGCTTTTTGTCATGCTGGACCATCTGGATAAGATTTAACTGACAAGGTCTCAGCTCCCAATCTTCATCCAAACTGGAACTGAGTTCCCGGGGAAGTCAATGAGAGCTGAACAGAACAGTTTTGGACAGGTTGTCGATAGTTTCTATGCTTTAGAACCAGCCTATGTAGAGTACTATAGAATTGAGATTGGGAAAAAGGCTTGGCTGGTTGGACCGATGTCACTATGCAACCGATATCTCGAAGACAAGGCTGTGTGACCTATGATGAGAATAGTTGCTCGAGGTTCGATTTGAAGAAACCCATTTCAGTTTCATACGCAAGTTTTGGCAGTTTATCTCGAGTAAAAGCCCGAGTTAATTTAATCAATGACCATTGAACTTTGCTATGGTTATTACTTGTTTATCGATCTTTAAAAAGTTACACATTATTCACTGGACTTTACTATTTGTTACTGCTTGTTCACTAAAATTTAAAAATTCTCGTTGCTCACCTAAATTTGAATAAAGTTATTCGTTGCTCATTGAACTTTATTATATGTAACGATTATGAAAATGATACGGGTGATTAATGTGTAACTTTATTCAAATTTAGGTGAACAACGAGTACTCATTTAAATTTCGATGAGCAAGTAGTTACATATAATAAAATTCAGTGAACAAAGAGTAACCTTTTGAATTTTGATGAGCATGTGGTAACCTAAAGCAAAGTTCAGTGACCATCGATTGAATTAACTCAATAAGCCCTACATAGCTTTATGAAATTGCTCGTGGTCTTAAACTGCAAGGCAGCCTTGAGTGGTCACTTCAATTAAATGAGTGGTCACTGAATTTTATACTTGGTTACTGTTTGCTTACCGAAAAATAAAAGGTTACTAAATGCTCATTGAACTATTTATTTATTTACCCATCTATCACTATAGTTATTTCCGTTTATACAATTGATAAAAAATTCCACGTGGCTGATGAAAAATGACGTGGCACAAGGTATCAATTAATCACCCCACGTCACTGTAAATTGCTTTTAGTAAACAAGACTTCTCCAATTGGGCTAAATCAAAAATTCCCTAATGAAATCCATAGATTGAACTCCTTCATCCCGAAAACCTAGTGTTTATTGTCAAACTAAGAGCTTGTTTGTGAGAGATTTTTGGGGGAAGAATTGATTTTGAATAGTGATATGATGGAAAATGTGTGGTTGAAAAAGAAGAATAAATTATTGATGTGATGTAAAATATTATTTTATTGAAGAATGTGTGGTTGAAAATGAGAATTGATTTACTGTAGAAAAATTTAATTCCTCCCAAACAAGGCTTTAATTCAATTTGCATCCCAGTTGTAATACCAGATTCATAATCCACGTCCCAGAAGTTCTCCATCTATTCGATAAAGACACGGCTAATAACAATTTTGAAATTTACTAGGGAAAATTGCACGGGAATGTCAGGTTGTTATCATCCTTTTGAACAGCGGTGAGTGGGTAGGTCTTAATCTTGCTGTTAATCACGTCGAGTCCACCATGATGGCTGTGAAGTTGGTTCAATTTTGCTTTTGGTCCAGTTTGCTAGTATTAAATGATGATGGAGACACTGAAGTTCGTTTTATGTGTTCATTTCAATTTTGCTTTTTAGTTGCTTTCGGGAAGAAAGAGGCAAAGAAAAATGCCGGGGACAACAAGAAGATAACATTTAACAGATTTATCTCTGCAGCACCTGGGACAACAAGATAACCTTTAATAGAATGGAGCTAACTACCATCCTCTCCAATAACAAATTGATTGTTGTCATAAAAATGTGTACAACCATGACATTACATTACTGATTTTAAAAATGAAGCCTGAAAGGCCATGTATGGGATGAAAATGATCAAACAAAGCAACATCACGAAGATTTTTAAATTCATGTCTGCACCAAGTACACAAAACCCTTTAAACTAGTAGCCCTTTCATCTGCACCAAGGGACTGAAAATCATATTAGTCCACCAAGTTTCTGAACTTAAATGTAAAACTCTATCATTTATACAGATAGCTTAGTTTTACATCAAAATTCAGCATTAACAAAAAGCATTAATAATGGATTTTAGCCTTTCTGTCACGCTATATTTATCAGCAATAGCCAGCCAAGCATCATCAATTCATGAAGTCATTTGATTTTCATATTACATCAACAAATAGCCGAAGAATCAGCATGCATTGTGTCTTCTACTAGCAACTATGATAACGGTCTCTCTACAGATCTGCTCTTTGGAGTTTCTAATGCCCAGGACTTCTCTCCTATCTCTTACTGGATAATGATAAGCTCTGCACATCCACATATCTGGATCAGTTTTGTATTTCAAATGTATTGCAGATATAGCTTAGGTTGTTAGCCTTCTACTTTGAAAACTAGATAAGAGTGTACAAACGTGTATAAAGCTCTCACCTCTGTAAATGAGAAAATATGATTCCATTGCCTGTCTTCATCTTTACA